TTATTTGATCAAATTTTTAATTAATTTGAACAAATAATTTCAAATATTTGAATCAAATTCAAAATTTGATTTGATTTTGCGGAGTACTATGTTACACCATTCAACCATTTTGAAAAAATCATAAAGCACAGAATTAATGACAAGGGTATCGAACCGAGATTTATAAATTCTATTTTTTTTATATTATGAAAAATATCAATAAAGAAATATTTCTATTTTATTTTCTGATTAGAATTCACTTGTTTTCGAAATAAATTAATTTTGAATTACTGAATTACCTTAAGATTTTAATATGAATTTTCTTTACAAGGTTCTTTTTTTTATAATATTTGGCTCAGTATGTTATCTTGTTATTTGTCAGAATAGTCCTAACGCTAGATTTCTGCAAAGTAGCACATTAGTTGGTAATAAACTTTATTTCTTCGGTGGGTCAACTGCAACTGCTTATAGCTCTAATGAAGTCTGGTATCTTGATTTGTCAAATTCATTTAACATAACAACACCACCATGGCGCAATGATATTGGAATGCCAGTAGGATATGTTTTTGGTAGTTCATATCTTAGTCCTATTGATAATTCCACTGTATTTTTAGTTGGTGGAAGGACATTTACTTTGGATAATACAAGTCGTTATATATATAGATCATCAGCATATGTATTTAATTCTAAGACTTCAAAATGGACAACGCCAAGTATTAATAATTTTAATTCTAGCTTTGCGACTCGTCAAAGTATTCAATCAGTTATTGATAATAACGGAAATATTTTTATTTTTGGGGGAGCAAATTATAACAGCACAATAGTTAATTGGTATAATGATATGAATATACTTGATATCACTACCATGACTTGGTCAACCCAAATTCAATCCCAATCCCTTACTAATATTGAATATACTGCTACATTATTATCAAATGGTCTTATTATTTATATTGGTGGGCGCGAAGATGGATACTACTTTGCTAGTATGAATCAGGTATGACTTAGATAATTTTTTATTTTCAAACATTTAAAACGTTGCCTTTACTTAATACTATAATACCAAATGTAGATTCGAACATATGATACAAAATCCTACACCTGGTCTACTAAAGTAATAATATAATTAATTATTATTCTTGTTGTTAAATATTAAACCTAATTTTTTGTTCTGGTTAGGCTGCTAGTGGTTCCACTGTCTTACCTCGTCTGGGTCATACTACTGTTTTATGTAAGCTGAACATATTAGTATCAATACAAAAATTATAAATTTATACTAGAGTTTTGTACTGGTTTTATTTGTCGTATGTCAAAATCGACCAGTTTTAACGTGTGAAAATTAAAACCAGTTCCAAACTCTAATTTATACATTCTTTTTTTTTTTACAACTATTAATACATTTTTTGATAGCCCAGGACGGAAATATTATTCTATATGGTGGTGCAACGATAAATTCTAGTAACTACCTTGATAATATATTTTCAGATATCGCAATATTAAATACTAATACTTGGAAGTGGTCTATTCCAAGCGTTTCTGGAATTACAAATGCTCCTCCATCACTCGCATTTCATTCTGCTGCATTATATCAAAATTATATGATTATTGCATTTGGTAAGTACTTCATTGATTTATAGTACAGTAATAGGCTATTAAATTTATTAAAATTATTAAATTTATTTAATCTTGACATATTCAGGCCAGACTACAATAACAGTAAGATTCTCTAATAAGATTTATATTCTTGACATACGAGATTACACCTGGGTTACTTCAGCAAATCTAAATATAGATTCAAGCCAGCCAAAAAGTACTACTAATCAAAATAATGATAATAATAATTTATATCTTGGAGTTGGAATTGGTGTGGCTGGAAGTATTTTATTGTTTGGAGCATTGATTGCATTTATTATTATTAGATTTTTAAATTATAAAAAACGAGATAAAAATATTATTAGAATGGCGGGATCGAATGAAAGAGATCTCTAACTTAAACGTAGAGATGCACATTATTCTTGATGCTAAACGTATATTATAATTTACAATACAATTAGAGACTGATACAGTAAAATGCTAATTGATATATCTGAATATTTATAAAGACTAAAGATTTACCTGGGACATATTGTTCAAAATTTTATGCTACCTTACAATTTTTCAAATTGCAATAGTATCAAAGTTAGATCTCTCTAAATGCACAGCCAGAGGTTCAATAAAAAATCTTGCATTTAGAGATTATATAAGTTGGGCCAAACAAAGACATGCATTTAGAGAGAGTTGCATTTAGTGAGATTGCATTTAGAGAGGGGAAGTTAATATCAAAGTGTGAATCACGTGATTTATAAAAGTCACGTGAAAACCAATTTTTAAATTCTATAATCTGATTATAATTAGATAATCAAGGGCGGCAAAAATAATTACAACCAAAATAACTTTTATAATAAGTTACTTTTAAAATAATATAGTATTAGAGCCCATCGTTAAGCGACGGGCTATATCTGATATGTTAAGAACAAACATCATATATTAATGTTGCCTGTTACATGAATACACAAGAACCGTTATAAGTGCTAATAAAGGAAAATAAGGCTTTAGACTTTAATTATATCATTTATATTTTGTAGAATTCAGCCTTTTAAAAATCTGATGATGACAAATAACTGATATGGCATATAACCACATTTCATATATATCCAAATCCGGGCTGGATCCGGTAAAAAAAATCGACGATAAACTTGAAAATCCAAACTTTCCTCTTTCCTCGGCAGCACTTACATAGTGACCTGTCAGGCACATACAAAAAATGTATTAGACCCCTCGATTTTATTGTATACACGAATGTTATATTAATACGCAATTATATACTATGATTGTACGCGTGTTATGCAATGTTACACGAAATATGCGAGTATACATGTAGTTTTTATTTGTTAAAGCTTTAAAAGTGGTTTTATTGGTAAAATTTTAAAATATTATTATTTGTTAAATAAAGATCATTAATTTCAAATATTACGGATTATTGTTCTCAATTATCTTCTCAACAACCTGGGTAGATAGTTTCGTGCTGCTAACTTTTTTAGTAATAACCTTATGTTGTTGCTCCTCATAATTATTAATTTCAGAAGCGTCACTTTTGACAGAATCATTAGCATTGACAGTTTGTTCCTCATGAATTTTAATTTTAGGAACGTCAGCGTTATTGGCGCCAGTTTTAGAGATCCTATCTTTGAATGAATCTGGTTGTGTAAATATAAATTTTTTAAAAAAAGATAGCTAATTTAGTGAGAAATTATTTTAAAATTAAAACCAAAAGAAATTAGAATAATTGAGTTACTAACAAGCATCTATAGGTTCTTGTTTGTATTTGTTAGCAGACCTCAAATACCATTTAAATGCTTTGTTTATATCTGGTGAGACGCCGATTCCCTTGTAATAACAATATCCAACATTGTTTTGAGCTATTTTATTTCCTTTTTTGGCAGAATCCTTGTAATAATGAAATGCTTTCCCTAAATTTGGACTAGTCCCAATTCCTTTTTCAAAGCAATGTCCGTAATTGTTCATTCCATTACTGTCTTTGTTCAGAGCGGATTTTTCGTACAATTTAAATGCTTTATCTATATCTTTCTTTATTCCTATTCCATGTTCAAAACAATACCCAAGATTATTCATTCCTTTATAGTCATTATCCTTTTCTGAATCTTTGAACTTTGCGTATCCATTAATTTCAGAATGATTATCTTCTTCTGGCTCTTCTTTAATTACGCATTCAAAAGTATTGTCTAAATAATATTCACCTTTTTTGATCCGGTTTACAAAGTTTATAATATGATTTTTTAACTTTTTATCAGGTTTTTTTTCATCAATTGTCTCTGCTGTCCCAGCAAATTTGAAATACGACTTTTCATTCTGGATTTTTTCATGCTTAAATCTAGTGATCTCGCAATTTTTATCTTCCTCTTCTGATTTATTTTCTATAATGTTTTCAATTTCTTGCTGAGTTGCTTCATTAAGGAGGTTAGTAATAGGAATCATTTCGTATTTATCTACTACATGCCATGACTTAAGATCTTTTTTAGAAAGGTCAGTGGACCAGGAGTCGTTGACATAAGTATTCTTTTCTTCTGAAATCGCTGATCCGTCTTCATTAGGCAAATTATTCTTTTTTTCTTCATTAGGCAAATTATTCTTTTTTTCTTCATTAGGCAAATTATTCTTTTTTTCTTCATTGGGCAAATTATTCTTTTTTTCTTCATTGGGCAAATTATTCTTTTTTTCTTCATTTGGCAAATTATTCTTTTTTCCTTCAGTTGGCAATTTATTTTTATTCGACAAAGCATCAATTACTTTTCCCATAGTGAACTTTTGGCAAATTACATGACCATATTCTAAAAATACATCCGTCAATTTCTCATACCGATATTCGGCTTTAGATTTTAATGCTCTATCAATGGCTTTTTCAAACATTTCTGTTGGCTCCTTATTAGATAATGTAAATTCAATTTGCTCATTAACAATTCTATAACGATAATGAGAAGTATTTGGTGATTGATCATTGCTGATTTCAATGAAACATTCCTTTTTAGTTTTTCGGATCCTTCTGATTGATGAAATTGAAATTTTTTTTGCAGGTTTCTTACTAATAACTACACCATCGGAGGAGATCACTAGCCCATGGCCTAATTTATATTTTGGAATCTTCAAAAATACGTTGTCTTGTAACCATTCATCCATACTATATACTTTATGATTGGAAATTCCTGGTACCAGAAGATCATGCTTTATACCTTTATCAGATGGGCTAATGACTTTCTCATATGCGATTACGGAAGCATACTTAAAGTCATACAGTTCTTCAATATATTTATGCTGAACAATTTTGATTAGAATATAAAAATAAATATTAACGTATAAAAATTATTCTCTGACATTGTAAACATAATGCAAAGATATGTTGATAATAAATTAATCATACCAATTTATTCATTTCATCAATATGTTCATCACAATTTAAACCTTCAATATTGAGAGGGATTCCAAGGTCTTGAAATGAAATTTCTTGTTCTGCTTGGGTATTGTTTATTGCATAGTTTATGCATGCTTGCAGTACGTGCTGTTCAAAATGGTCTTCAGGATACTTTTTAATAACTAAAAACCCTCCAATCCATGCTATCATTGGAACAAATAAGTTCTCATGACCTTTAAACAGTTCGTCATTTTCGTCATTAAATTTTATTTTAAAAAGTGGAATAAGAATTTTTGTTTTATTCAGATAATCAGATTCACTATCGTTAACACTCGATGATACAGATTCACTAACGTTAACACTCGATGATACAGATTTCCATGCATTGTCTGCTTTTTTGTCTGGTGTGTATACTTTAATTTCGGTAAAACTTTCTAAAACTGGATTATTATTCCTCTTAAATTTAATTTCTGGCTTAAAATCTAGGTTTTCATAACGACACATATAATTTAAATTTAAACTTTCCACGAATTTATCCATTTTTTTTGTTTGAAGTTTGTCTTTGTAATGCGAATTCTAAAAATTTTTTGAATATAAAATTTAAAAAATTGTTATAGCCGGATGTAGTTCCGCAGATGTCAATATAACCAGTAATGTGTACTAAATACAAAGAGAATATACTGAAGAAATATTAACAGGTGAATTTTGAGAGTTTATAATATCAGGATGTTTCGAAAGTCACTAAAAAGTCTTCTGATTTTTCTCTAAGTAACTTACTACCATGTTAAGGGCATCGAATCCCTATTACACCTCCCTAAATGCATAACCTCTTTAAATGCATATTTTCTCAATTTTTTACTATGGTCCCGACGCTATGCATTTAGAGAGGTCTGACTGTAGTAAGTTGCACAGTTGTGTGTGAGTATTTCGGAATTATGATTAGATTAAGGTTTACGCCAATCTATAAATAAAAGAAGTCGGTTTTAAACCTTACCGACTGTTGGTTCTAAATATGCCTTTTTGTCATACTAAATAAACACATAACTTTATTAAAGTTTTAAATAAATAAATCGGCTTTACACTTCACCGATTGTTGGTTCTAAGTTTGACATTTTGTCATACTAAATAAACATATAACTTTATTAAAGTTTTCACCAATCTATAAATAAAAGAAATCGGCTTTACACTTTACCGATTGTTGGTCCTAATTATGACTTTTTGTCATACTAAATAAACACATAACTTTATTAAAGTTTTCACCTAATTGTTTGATCCTAGTATGCATTTTGTATCTTTCCGACTAAGAGTGTTCATAATTTATTGTCCACATCTCCGAATTTACCCAATAACAACATGACTTGCAACTTTCATTAGACGTCTTCCAATAAAAATTATAAAAATTACCAATTCTATAAAATATTCAATTCCTATCCGAAATTTTTTGCTAATTGCAAATAATATACTATATCTGAACAAATTTTGCAGATTGCAGCACTGATTGGTAGTACTTCTTTTTTGAGGGTCCTAAACACAATAAACCATGTTAAGTTTATTGAAATTTAAGATGACACTGAATTTTGGTATATAAAAATTTTCAAAAAATTACCAATTACACGAAATTTTATAGACTACCTAGAGCTTAATGTACTATGTTAATATTTTAATTAGTATTCATGGATGTCGAAAGGTCACTATAATGAAAATGAATTATTTTAAATTGTATAAAAGGTCAGCGTCGCCCCACTGACACATGTGTACAAATAAAGATTAATGCGCAGATTATGCATTGTATACTTGTACTAACCTGTTACAATCATTATGCAAAGTATGCAATAGCACTGATTACGGACTATCCATTGTAGACTTGCGCAAACCATAATCTAAAAAATATATATATATATTTTTATGCGAAGTATGCATATTTGCATAATATAACGGGCACAAGGTCACTTAAAAAGAGGGACTGTTTAAGGACTTTCGGAACACCGGTATTATGAAATCATTTTGATTCAGATAATGAACATAATAAATTACCAGATTAGTATCTAGATACTTTTAAAGATGCTAGAATCTAAAATTGAATAGTGCTCCGATACTATTTAAAGACCCTTTTTATTTAAGTCACCAAACCTAACTAGACAAACTAATTTTTACGGTTCTTTATTTAACTTGAAATATTATATAAGGGTAGATTTTATAAATTTAGGGTAATTAAATAAAGGCTAACCCGTCACGATGAAGCAATTGTCGTATGATGCAGAATTATTATTCTAGAAAATCAAAATGCGATAAAGTTCGAAACAAAGAACTACTATCAATCATTGTTACATTGTTTGCAGGTTATCATGGGACCTTCAAATCTTAAATTTTATTGGTCGTCTCTGTCAAACATTGTATTTAAATTAAGAATTCTCTTGATTACACGAAATTTAATTGGATTAAGCTATGATATTTCAATAACTACATATTTAAAATTAATACGCTTTTTAATTTTAGTTCTAGGAATTCATAAAATAAAAATAAACAAAATTTTACTAATTTAAATTTAGGTAGTTACTCAAGATCATCACTCAAATAATTATTTGAATTTTGAGCGATGATAACTGGATAACTATATATATAAAATCGATAATTTTTTTTTTACTTTAATTCTATGCTGCAATGAATTTATAGAATTAAATAAAAATTTTTTATCGATTTTAGATAGGTAGTTATCAACATATCATCGCTTTAATTTAAGCGATTATCAACTCATCTAGATGATGAAAAATTCGAGAGTGAAAAATTAAAAAAAAATTTAACTAAACCTTGTCACAGAATGTATATTAAATTTATAATTTTTGTTAACAAATCAACACGTAATCTATAAAATTTACCAAGTCTAGTGTACTTCGTTTCTTGCTGGGTTTTGTAGAGCTCTATCAGAGCACCGTAAATCAAAGAGGCGATCAATTACGTGATACAAGAAGCCTTTTTAATGGCCATCAAATAGAGCAAAATATAAATTCGATAGATTTGCGTTTCACAATTATGAATGAGCCTTTCTAGGGTGTTAAATTTCAGGAAAATGACCCAATTAAATTTCGTGTACCCAGAAAAATTTTTAGACAACTAGCTAGGATATTTGCATTTTATTTGCATTTAATTTATATAATTTCGTAAACGTTAATAATAGTAAAATGAATTTTAATAATAATAGAAGTCGTCATACGATACACTAGATAAGACGTTAAATTTAATTTATAAAGATCTAACAAAAGACTTTTAACGAGCTAAATTCATTTAAGATTCTTAAATTTCAGCCTTCTTTATTATAAATTATATACAATGTCTTCTCATATTATTCAACAATTTCTCAAAAATCTTTCAAAGCAAAATGATAAAGTTGAAAATTTGGATAGTTCTAGTAGTTCTAGATGTCTTGAAGAAATTCAAATAAGCATAAACATTCAAATCAAAGGCGAAACGAAATTGCATTGTTGTAAACTAAACGATTCATTGAGCAAGATTCGACAAGATTTTGAAAGCAATGGTATTCGTATTGATGAGCATATGGTATTTATGACAAAAGATGAGGCGGAGATTTCCCAAAAGGACGAAGACAAACTCAAGTTATTTATGCTGAAGTATAATGATGGCGACACTCTAAAAGTTAAAGAACTTAAAACATGCAAAAAATACATAGCTGACTATAGTTTGAAACGCTGCTTAAATGATGAAAAGGACATTAACAACAAAACCGTCGAGGATGTGATTGAATTTAAATGTAATGGAAAATGTAACTGCGTCATAAAGTGTAACCAAATTAATAGTACAATTGAAAAAGAAGTTTCTTCTATATCCTACGACAGGCAGTTTTCTATCAATGGAAAAGTTGCAATTGCAGTCCCATATGTTACTTCCATTAGCAATCAATACGCTCTGAGTACTAAAAAACAAATCAGTGATAATCTCGATATTTTACATCTGTGTAACAATTTCCTCGTTGTAAAAGCAGTATTAAATTTAGGAGAGGCACAGTTAAAAGAAGAGTTAGAAAATGAAATAGATAAAATTTTAGGTTTCGATGAAAATGATAATGATAATGATCATGATCATGAAAAAACAATACAAGCGTTACAAGCGTTTTATGAAAAATATGGTAAATTTTATATAAAAAAACTTTTTCTTGGAGGAAAGTTGACAAGTAACGAAACACATGACAATTCGGGGCATAATGAATCAAGGTCTAACCAAGCATCTGTAGGTGTTGGTGGTGGCGCTTATGGAGTTACTGCAAATGCTTCAGTGGAGAATAAAATAGACTTTAAAGTATCTCATAACCAGATTATTGAAGCTAAAAAATTTAATAGAGTAGGCGGGACAGATATGGAAATTCATAACGAAAATGATTTAAAAGAATGGGAAACCTCTTTATCTGATGAGAAAAATTGGGAAGTTGTTGAACATGAGGTTGAGCCAGTTTTTAACTTATTAAGCAAAGAAAAACGCAGACGAATCATTGAGAAAATTTTAGGAAAGAGTATTATAAAAAGAAAAATTATTCAAATCACGAACATCAATAGCGAGAATCAAACAGATTATTTATTATGGTCTTTACCCGAGGAATTGAATAATTACCTTAAGAATAAAGATAATCAAATTTACTTCTCTGTCGTAAAGAAGAGGAGGAAAAGCGTTTATTCTATTCGATTGGTAAAAAATAAAAAAGAGCATAAACTATTAATTCACAATGTTAAAAAACATACAACAGAGCACGACGAATTAAAGATTGGATGTATAATTGTCGGTTATCCTGAGAAAGTTGATTATACGGAGCCCAAATTTATGAAGAATTGTAGTAAACGTATTGACAATAAAAATAATCCAATTGAAATTGGACATACGGAAGATTATTTTCCTTTAATTTCATGCGTTCAAGAAGTTGATTCCTTTGATTCCTTTGACATGTCTGATATTGCAATAGGCATTCGTTTTTCAAATAGTGGTACATTGACAGCATCTCTGTTCGGTTATGACATCAAATCATGTAAGGAATATGAATTTAAGAATTCCGACAAGTCAAAGCTTTCCATAAATTATAGGTTTGTTGATATTAATAATTTCTGACTTAAAAAATGTTATTTATAAAATTTTAATGCTTCGATTTTATCATTATATTAGCTGTATTAAGATTGGAGATGCAAAATTAGAAAAATCATGGAAAAGGCAGTGGCATTGGAATTTAACTACTTATAAAAATACATACCTATTTTATGATAAAAATAAGATTGATAATGGGGTAAAACAGGATAAAGAAGATAAAGGAAATTTTGTTTGCATCATTGACCGAAAAGGATTTGTAAATTGTGATTCAAAAAATTTAACGTTCAGATACTTTAATAGTTCTGATAGAGGGACTGAACTTAAGGGTCCGTGCTTCTCTATACAATTAAACCAACAACCATAATTTTACTTTATTATGATATTGTATATGCGTACCGCGTCATTTCTCATAATTCTCAAATTAGAAACTAAATTGGTCGTTTCGCAATCGGTATAAAAAAATAATAATAATGAGCGTAATTAAACTTGGTTTAAATACTAAATTCACATGTATACCCAAAGATGCAAAATGTTATGATCATTTGCAATTTACGTCGATTATCAATTGACATGTGTCGGAACGAGTCTTTGATGTAATAGACTTGATATAATAAACTATTAATATAATACTTGATATTGCTATATTCCCCAACGCATTTCTAAGATTTTACCAATGCGTCTTATCGTTTCCGAATATGTCCAAATACTGTATGTCACGTTAACCTTAATGCATAAATAACTCACAACAATAAAAGGTAAGCTGATAATAATCACAATCGTCCAACTTGTAATGCCAAGGTGATCAACCCATAATTGTCCGAAACGTAGCGAGGACTCTGGTAGAGCAATTAGCATGATTTTGTGCTGGATTCCAGTCATGTGATCAAGTAATTTGCCAATCAAACTACATAAATCGACACGGATCAGTCCGACAAACTACATTTACCGAAATTTACCGATAACCAAATTAATAAGTCCTTGCTTAATACGCTTAAAAAAGTAATTGTATTTGAAATAACGTTATTAATTACATAACATTGTCGTTGTGAATTATATCAACGTAGTGGTCGTTAATTACCTAATAAGAAAGATGTGAGATTAAACGAATATGTTGTAAGGCGAGAGCTTAAAGTTCATTTATAATTTACCCCGTTTAACGGAACCCGAGCTTCCAAAAAAAAATATTGTAAAACGTATAAAAAAATTTTTAACAATTGTGCCATTTCCATATTTGGGACGTTCCTACCTGTACTCGAAACCCTATCCGAAACCTGAAACTTCTTCCGAAATACGAAATTCCAAAACTTAACGTTAATGATTGAAAAATTTGTAAGGTTTATCAATTTGAAAAATTGTCAAACGCTTAGGGGATAACTTACCTACAAAGTAATTTATATGTAACGATGTAAGTTACGTGACTCATGTAAGTTACAAATGCATAAGTTTGATTTAGACCAAAATTATAATAAAACTAGATAGCTGCGCGACGCCATCGCGCAAAACCAGGAACGGAACTTAACTGACTACTCAAGATTTGCTCAATTGCAAGAAAATAATAATTTTCCTTTTAAAAATTTAGATCGTATATAAATATAAAGTTTTTATACTTGCCATATCTCTTCAAATATAATCAACCGCAATTTTACACATTTTTCGAGTCAAAAATGAAGAGTTTGCTTATATTCAGAGATATATGGTTCATTTTAACTGGTTTGAATCCCGACAAGCGAAATCTCAACAGGTCATAATCCTGACAAAAAAATCCCAACATAAAAAATCCCGATAGTCAAAAATCCGACAGTTAAAAAATCCCGAAAATTATGAAAAATATCATAAACCATAGCTAATCCTAAATTTATCAAGAATGCAATTATTATTGTTCAATCAGATGACAAATGACTTTATTAAAATACTATGAAAAGTAGATGGGAATCTGCCTATTATCATTACAGGCCCAACCTCCTATAATTGAAATATTACATCTCCAAATCAAACAATGCTATTCGAATTAATTGGTTATAAACCCACTCTTAACGTATTGAAACTACGCCTAAAAAAAATTTCTTATAATATCTAATCAAACTATAATGCCTAAGCAATCGGGGGACAGGTCGTTGAGGAGAGATCCATGTAGCTTCAAAGAGAATCGATTATGTAGTCACTCATAAAATGATAAAGATGCTTCTAAGTTCAATAAATGGGCTTTTGCAACTGCGAAGCCCAAAGCCTATCTTACTAAGGTCCTTGCATTGCTACTATATCCGCGGTGCTTAATTACCACCAAACGAGGTTCTTGCACCACTACTGCAACTGCAGAGCCTAATTACTACCGGCAAGGTTCTTACGCTGCTATTTCAGCCGCCGAGCTTGATATTACTTACCATTACCATTTAGCCTATTAACCAAGTACGAGTCAAAATGAGTGAAAAAAAATGACCTCACACTACTGAACAACAACTTTCAACTACACTGATTATCAAAAACAGTTTGCTCTTCACTACAATGAGATTATCATATGTATTCCCATTTTTATGTCTAGATATTGATTTACATATTGCATAAATCGTACTGAATGCTTAATATTATTATGATTGTTATAAACATTAACCATAAATGCATCACCTAACCGGAAGTTCTTGATCAAATCTGCGCTCACGCCCTTACACTATGCAATATAACGCCCAATCAATTGCAAGATTTTGTGGAGCAACACCATTAAATTGCCGTATAACCATACACCCGTGATATTCATCACTCCATTCCTGGTATTGGCACGTATTACAGCTGTTATCATAATTTTTGGGATACCTGATAAAAAATTAGCTGAATAATTTTTCGGCCGATTCGACTAAGGGTGTTCTCAAGCATCTCAATCAATCAATTAAATAATGATCATGATAACGCTCAAGCATCTCAGTCAA